CAACTAGACTGAAGAACAAAACGACAGCAACTTGTCTGTTCCCCTTCCCCCAATTCCCCAGCACTGTTCCCATCCCCCCAATTCCCCAATTAAAAAAACCTTAAAAAAAAAAGAATAGGTAAACGTAACTGATGAGTGCTTAGTCAGCATGTATGTCATTTAAATGAGACGTTATTTAAAAAGCATAGTGCCTTATATCCCATCTCTTTCAGGTATGCACAAGTCCTAAAGGCAGTCTAACGAGAGCCATACCTCGATAAACACCATCCACCTTGTGGAATCTACTTGAACTGCAGGTCTGGCACCCCAGGAGACAGACAGTGTCCTTTGAGGGCAAGGTTGCCAGACCCAACCTGTTTGAATGTCATCAGTGTCACTCATGGAGACAGCAGTATGATTTACAGAACTAGGAGAAAAAGAGGCCAAACATGGAAGAGCTAAGTGTCATGGAACAAGGAGGTCCATGACAAAAAGCAAGGGGATCTGAGGCAAGAATGATGAAGAGTAACCATTTGTGTGTATGTATGTGTGACCCTCCCTTAGATATGGTGGCCTTGACACCAGGAGATGCTTCCAACATATTGTCCATGTTCAAGTGAGGAGTCTTGGAGTGGATTATCAAGGAGGAAGTTCACATAAGATAAGTTCCTAATTTAGTTTGTACTGAAGACGACCAAGTCATTCTACTAGATGTGTAGTGTGGTATCTCATCATAATGTTAATTCGCATTTCCCTAATAGCTAATGATACTTAACTGTTTTTCACATGCTTGTCTGCCATCTGTATGTCCTCTTTGGTGAAGTGTCTGTTCAAATATTTGGCCCATTTTTCAGTTGGCTTGTTTGTTTTTTCACTATTGAGTATTTAGAGTTCTTTGTATATTCTAGATACAAGTCCTTTGTTGGATATGTACCTTTAAACATTTTCTCCTGGTCTGTATTTATCTTTTCACACTTTCAATAGGGTCTTTCTTAGAGCAAAAGCTTTTTTTTTTTTTTTTTAAAGATTTTTATTGGGGAATTGGGGGGATGGGAACAATGCTGATACTCACCCAGTGACATTACGTAGTCTCGC